TCTGGTTTTATTCTGTGGTCTTTGATGCATTTGGCCTTAAGTTTTGTGCATGGCAATAGCCACAGATCTATCTGCAGTCCTCTACATGCCAGCATTCAGTTATGCCAGCACCATTTGTTGAAGGTGCTTTCTTTATTCCATTGTATAGCTTTAGCTTCTTTGTCAAAAATGAGGTGTTCATAGGTGTGTGGGTTAATATCAGGGTTTTCACTCTATTCCATTGGTCTACCTGTCTATTTTTGTGCCAATACCAAGCTGTTTTCAGGACTATAGCTGTGTAATAGAGCTTGAAGTCAGGGATGGTGATACCTCCAGAAGTTCCTTTATTGTATAGGGTTGTTTTGGCTATCCTAGGTCTTTTGTTTTTCCATATAAAGTTGAGAATTGTTCTTTCAAGTTCTGTGAAGAATTGTGCTGGGATTTTGATGGGGATTGAGTTGAATCTGTAGATTGCTTTTGGCAAGATTGCCATTTTTACTATGTTGATCCTACCTATCTAAGAGCATGGGAGATCATTTCATTTTCTGGTATCTTCTTTAATTTCTTTCTTGAGAGACTCAAAGTTCTTACTGTACAGGTCTTTCACTTTTTTGGTTAGCATTACCCCAAGGCATTTTATGTTGTTTTTGGCCATTGTCTAGGGTGATGTTTCTCTGATTTCTTTCTCCAGGAATCTATCATCTGTATATAGTAGGGCTACTGATTTTTTGAGTCAATTTTGTATCCTCTTACTTTACTGAAGGTTTTTTATCAGCTGTAGGAGTTCCCTGGTAGAGTTTTTTGGGTCACTTATGTAGACTATCATATCATCTGCAAATAGTGAAAGTTTGACTTCCTCCTTTCCGATTTGTATCCCCTTGATCTCCTTTTGTTGTCTTATTGCTCTAGCTAGAACTTCAAGGACAATATTCAAGATGTATGGAGAGAGTAGACAGCCTCGTCTTGTTACTGATTGTAGAGTAATTGCTTTGAGTTTCTCTCCATTTAGTTTGATGTTGAGTGTCGGTTTGCTGTATATTGCTATTTTCATGTTTAGGTATGTTCCTGTTATCCCTGATCTCTCCAAGACCTTTATCATGAAGGGGTGTTGGATTTTGCCAAAGCCTTTTACGGCATCTAGTGAGATGGACATGTGTTTTTTTTTCTCAGTCTGTTTATATGGTGGATTACATTGATGGATTTTCATAAGTTCAACCATCCTTGCATCCCTGGGATGAAGCCTACTTGATCATGGTGATTTCTCTGATGTGTTCTTGGATTCAATTTGCCAGTATTTTAGCATCAATGTTCATGAGGTATATTGGTCTGTAGTTCTCTTTGTTAGTTGTGTCTTTGTGTGGCTTGGGTATCAAGTTTGTTGAAGCCTCGTAAAAAGAGTTTGGCAATGACCCTTCTGCTTCTATTGTGTGTCATACTTTGAGGAGAACTGGTATTAGATATTCCTTGAATTTCTGGTAGAATTCTTCACTGAAGCCATCTGGCCCTCGACTTTTTTTGTTTGGGAGACTTTTGATGACTGCTTCTATTTCATTAAGGGTTATAGGCCTATTTAAGTTGCTTATATGTTCTTGATTTAATTTTGGTATGTGATATCTATTCTGAAAATTGTCCTTTTCCTTTATGTATTTGAACTCTGAGGAATACAAGTATTTTTGTATATGACCTGATGATTCTCTGTATTTCCTCTGTGTCTGTTGTTATGTTCCCCTTTCATTCCTGATTTTATTAATTTTCATGTTCTCTTTCTGCTGTTTCGTAAGTTGGGATAAAGGTTTGTCTATCTTGTTGATTTTCTGGAAGAACCAACTCTTTGTTATATGGATTCTTTGTATTGTTCTCCTAGTTTCTGCTTTATTGATTTCAGCCCTCAATTTGATTATTTCTTGGCATCTACTACTCTGGGGTGCATTGGTTTCTTTGTGTTCTAGAGCTTTCAGCTGTGCTGTTAATTTTGTAGTGTGACCATTCTCCTGTTTCTTCATGTGGGTACTTAGCACTATGAACTTTCTCCTTAGCACTGCTTTCAAAGTGCCCCATAAAGTTGGGTATGTTGTGTCCACATTCTCATTGAATTCTTGCAAATCTTTAATTTCATTCTTTTATTTCTTCCTTGGCCCAGGAATTATGCAATTGTGCATTATTTAATTTCCATGAGTTTGTAGATTTTCTACAATTTTTTTTGTTATTGAATCCTAGCTTTAAAGCATGGTGGTCTGATAAGATACAGGGAGTTATTTTAACTTTTCTGTACCTATTGAGGTTTGCTATGTTGCCAAGTATTGTAGAGAAGGTTCCATGTGGCACTGAGAAGAAGGTATATTCTTTTGTATCTGGATGGAATGTTCTATAGATGTCTGTTAAACCCAATTGGGAATAACTTCTATTAGTTCCTTTGCTTCTTTGTAAAGTTTCTGTCTGGTGTTCCTGTCTAGTGGTGAAAGGGGGGTGTTGAAGTCTCCCATTATAAGTGTGTGCAGTTTCATGTGTGATTTGAGTTTTAGTAATGCTTGTTTTATGAATGTGGATGCCTTTGTATTTCAGGCATAAATGTTCAGAATTGAGACTTCATCCTGAGGGATTTCTCCTGTGATGAGTAGGAAGTGACCTCCTTCATCTCTTTTGATTGATTTTAGTTTAAAGTCCAATTTGTTGGATATTAGGATTGCTACCCCCCACTTGTTTCGTGGGTCCATTTGATTGGAAAATCTTGTCCCAACCCCCAATTCTTAGGTACTATCTCTCCTTGAAGTTGAGGTGTGTTTCTTGTATGCATCAGAAGGATGTATTCTGTCTTCTTATCCATTCTGCTAACCTGTGTCTTTTCATAGGTGAGTTAAGACAGTTAATATTGAGGGATATTAATGACCATTGATTGTTCATTCTTGTTTGTTTTTGATTTGGTGGTGGTGGTGGAATTATGTGTGGGTTTCCACCCCTTTTTTCTTTTGTCTGTTGGTAAAGTGGGATTATCTATTGCCTATATTTTTCTGGTTGTAGTTAACTTTCTTGGGTTGCACTTTGCCTTCCAAACTTTCTGTAGGGCTGGATTGGTGGATATGTATTGTTTGAATCTGGTTTTGTCATGGAATATCTTGTTTTCTCCATCTATATTGATTGAAAACTTTTCTGGGTATAATAGTCTGGGCTGGCATCCATGGTCTCTTAATGTAGGTGGAATATCTATCCAGGACCTTCTGCCTTTCAAAGTTTCCTTGGAAAAGTCAGGTGTAATTCTGATAGGTTTGCCTTTATATGCTACTTGACCTTTTTCCTTTGCTGCTCTTAATATTTTCTCTTTATTCTGTATGTTTGGGTTTTGATTATTATGTTATGAGGAGACCTTTTTTTTTTTTTTTGATCCGGTCTATTTGATGACGTTTAGGCTTCTTGTACTCTCATTGGCATGTCTTTCTTTAGGTTGAATAAGTTTTCTTCTATTATTTTGTTGAATATGTTTTCTGTGCCTTTGAGTTGGATTTCTTCAACTTCTTCTATACTTATTATTCTTAGATTTGGTCTTTTCATGGTATTCCATATTTCCTGAATATTTTGTGTTAGGGATTTGTTGGACTTAAGATTTTCTTTGGTTGATGAGTCTATTTCTCTTAGTGTGTCTTCAAGTCCTGAGATTCTCTCTTCCTTTTCTTGTATTCTGTTGGTTATGCTTGCATCTGTAGTTCCTGATCATTTACCCAGCTTTTCTATTTTCAGCATTCCCTCAGATTGTGCTTTCTTTATTGTCTCTATTTCAATTTTTAGGTCTTGAACTGTTTCCTTGAAAGATTTGTTGATATCTTGTATTTTTTGGTTTTTCCCTTTCATTTCTTTAAGGGATTTTCTCATATCCTCTTTGTGGCCCCCTATCATTTTCATGAAGATGTTTTTAAGGTCATTCTCTTCTGCTTCATCTGCATTGTGATGTTCAGGTCTTGCTGGGGTAGGGGCCCTAGTCTCCAGTGGTTTCTATTGGTTCTTCTGTTGTTGAATGTGCTTTTTATATTGTCTTTTTCCCATCTTTTCTTCTGGTGGGAATAGCAGAAGTCTCTTCCTCTCTTGGTGGGTATGAGACCAAGGTTCCCTTCTGGTAGATGCATACAGTTCCAATACTTTGATGTCTATCCTCTTCTCGTGGATGGAGGAAAGACTGGTACTGGGGCCTTGGCAGTCTCTGGGTGTGTTGGATCCCGCTGAGTTCAGAACTCGTGAGTAGTCCCCCGGCCTCAGATGTCCCCCATAATGGCAGCAGAACCTCAATGGAAACAGCTCCTTGCCTACCTGGTCCAGTGGATGGAGGCGGGACTGGTACCAGGGTCTTGGCAGTCTCTGGGTGTGTTAGATACCAGGGAAAAATCCTGAGTCTTCTCTTGAGCCTCATGGGTGTTTTTTTGTTTGTTTGTTTGTGTTTTTTTTTTTTTTTAGCACATTTCAGTTGTGTTGCTGACCAGACCTGTAAAAGTCTTCCAAATATTAAAATCATAGAGTGATAATTGGAAAGATAAAAATGAGAATTTGGTTCTGTTCTAATTATTTGGGCATATGATTGGTGTTGTATCAGCATAGAAATGATCATATTTCCCTTTGCTTTTTAGCGTGGGTTGAGAAAGATTTATCCTCGGAGGTAATAAGCTTTATATTTTTTATCATTAATTATTAATTATATCTTATGTGACATACATAACATTTAAATATCCTGCCTTGAATCCTATTTAGCCTGACATAGAAGTAAGAGAATCTGTTACAAATGAAGCAGTAGAAATAATAGAACTGCTACAACCCATACCAGGTAAGTTTTGCAAAGCAAATCATTTTGGAAAAAAATAGAGTATATGAAATGCTTGCAGACTTTGCCATCCTAATTCTGATCCCCCCAAGTTGGTGGTATGATTTGATATAAATGTGAACTTTATGCTAGCATCCATATTTTTTATATTTATTTATTTATTAGTTCAAATTAAGAACAAGCTTGCTTCACATGTCCATCTCCTCTCCCTTCCCTCTCACTCAGACCCCTACCAGCTCCCCACCCCCATCCCCCTCTGCTCTCCAGGGAGGGTAGGGCCCGCCATTGGAGCTCCCCAAAGTCCACAGCATCATCCTGGGCCGGACCTGGCCCCTCCCCCATGTGTCCAGGCCGAGAGAACATCCCTTCACATGGGATGGGATCTCAAAGTCCTTCTTATACAAGGGAAAAATACTGATCTACTACCAGCAGGCCCATAGAGTGCTGAGGCCTCCTCATTGACATCCACTTTTGGGGGTCTGGATCATTCCCATGCTGGCCTCCCACACATCAGTATGGGGTCCATGTGCTCCCCCTTGTTCAGGTTAGCTATTTCTGTGGGTTTCACTAGCCTGGCCCCGACCCCAATGATCTTCATTCCTTCCTATCTGCAACTGGGTTCCAGAGTTAAATTCAGTGTACAGCTGTGGGTGTCTGCCTCTGCTTCCATCAGCCACTGGATAAGGGCTCCTCATGCTCCTAATTGGCTCAGGAGATCCTGCCCCCTCCCATTCTCTGGGATCCATGCATTTTTCTCTTAGATTTCTTATTTCCTAGTTCCTTTGGTGATGAGGATTGTAGGCTGGTAATCCTTTGCTCTATGTCTAAAATTCATATATGAGTGAGTACATACCATGTTTGTCTTTTTGTGGCTGGGTTACCTCACTCAGGATGGTTTTTTCTAGTTCCATCCATTTGCCAGAGAATTTCAAGATTCTGTTGCTTTTCTCCACTGAGTAGTACTCCATTGTGTAAATGTACCACATTTTCTCTATCTATTCTTCAGTCGAGGGACCACTAGTTTGTTCCAGGTTCTGGCATTACAAACAATGCAGCTATGAACATGGTTGAACATATGTCCTTGTTGTATGAATGTGCATTATTTGGGTATATGCCCAAGAGAGAAATCGCTGGATCTTGAGGTAGACTGATTCCCATTTCCTGAGCAACCGCCATACTGACTTCCAAAGTGGTCTTACAAGTCTGCACTCCCACTAGCAATGGAAGAGTGTTCCTTTTTCTTGACATCCTCTCCAGCATAGTTTGTCATTGTTGTTTTTGATTTTAGCCATTCTGGTTGGTGTAAGATTGTATCTCAGATAGTTTTGATTTGCATTTCTCTGATGGTTAAGGATGTTGAGCACTTTCTTAAGTGTCTTTCATCCATTTTAGATTCCTCTGTTGAGAATTTTCTATTTAGTTCTGCACCCCACTTTTTAATGTTATTGTTTGGTGTTTTGGTGGCTAGCTTCTTGAGTTCATTGTATATTTTAGAAATCAGCCCTCTGTCAGATGTGGGGTTGAAGATCTTTTCCTATTCTGTTCACTGTTGTTTTGTCTTGCTGACTGTGTCCTTTGCCTTACAGAAGCTTCTCAGTTTCAGGAGGTCCCATTTATTAACTATAGATCTCAATGTCTCTGCTACTGGTGTAATGTTTAGTAAGCAGTCTTCTGTAACAATTTGTTCACAGGTATCTCCCACTTTGTCTTCTAGAAGATTCAGTGTGGTTGCATTTATGTTGAGATCTTTGATCCATTTGGACTTGTTTCATGCATGATGATAGATATGGATCTATCTGCAATCATCTGCATGTCCTAATTCATTTGTGCCAGCACCATTTGTTGAAGATGTTTTCTTTTTTCCAATGTATAGATTTAGCATCTTTATCAAAAATCAGGTGTTCATAGGTGTGTGGGTTAATATCAGGGTTTTCAATGAATTCCATTGGTCTGTCTGTCTATTTTTGTGCCAATACCAAGCTGTTTTCAGGACTATGGCTCTATAATAGAGCTTGAAGTCAGGGATGGTGATGCCTCCAGAAGTTCCTTTATTGTACAGGGTTGTTTTGGCTATCCTGGGTTCTTTTTTGTTTTTACATCTAAAGTTGAGTATTATTCTTAAAAGGTCTGTGAAGAACTGTGTTGGGATTTTGATGGGGATTGAGTTGAATCTGTAGATTGCTTTTGGCAAGATTGCCATTTTTACTATGTTGATTCTACCTATCCAAGAGCATGGGAGATATTTCCATTTTCTGGTATCTTCTTTAATTTCTTTCTTTAAAGACTCAACGTTCTTAATGTACAGGTCTTTCACTTTTTTGGTTAGTATTCCCCCAAGATATTTTATGTTGTTTGTTGATATTGAGAAGGGTGTTTATCTGATTTCTTTCTCCAGGAATGTATCATTTGTATATAGTAGGGCTACTGATTTTTTGTCAATTTTGTATCCTCTTACTTTGCTGAAGGTGTTTATCAGCTGTAGGAGTTCCCTGGTAGAGTTTTTTGGGTCACTTATGTAGACTATCATATCATCTGCCAACAGTGAAGGTTTGATTGCTTCCTTTCCGATTTGTATTCCCTTGATCTCCTTTTGTTGTCTTATTGCTCTAGCTAGAGCTTCAAGGACAATGTTGAAGAGATATGGAGAGAGTGGAAAGCCTTGTCTTGTTCCTGATTTTAGAGTAATTGCTTTGAGTTTCTTTCCATTTAGTTTAATTTTGATGCTGGCTGTTGGCTTGCTATATAATGCTTTTATTATGTTGAGGTATGTTCCTATTATCCCTGATTTCTCCACAACCTTTATCATGAAGGGGTGTTGGATTTTGTCAAAGGCTTTTTTCAGCATCTAGTGAGATGATCATGTGGTTTATCTTTTTCAGTTTGTTTATATGGTGGATTACATTGATGGACTTTCGTATGTTGAACCAACCTTGCATCCCTGGGATGAAGTCTACTTGATCATGCTGATTTCTCTGATGTGTTCTTGGATTCAATTTGCCAGTATTTTAGCTTCTATGTTCATGAGGTAGATTCGTCTGTAGTTCTCTTTTTTAGTTGTATCTTTGTGTGGCTTGGGTAACAAGGTTATTGAGGCATGTAAAAAGAGTTTGGCAATGTCCCTCCTGCTTCTATTGTGTGGAACAATTTGAGGAGTACTGGTATTAGCTCTTGTTTGAATTTCTGGTAGAATTCTGCAGTGAAGCCATCTGCCCCTGGGCTTTTCTTGGTTGGGAGACTTTTGATGACTGCTTCTATTTCATTAAGTGTTATAGGTAGATTTAAACTGCTTATCTGTTCTTGGTTTAATTTTGGGAAGTGATATCTATTCAGAAAATTGTTCATTTCCTTTAGATTTTCAAATTTTGTGGAGTACAGGTTTTCAAAATATGACCTGATGATTCTCTGGATTTCCTCAGTGTCCGTTGTTATATCCACCTTTTCCTTTCTGATTTTGTTAATTTACATGCTCTCTCTCTGCTGTTTGGTTAGTTTGGTTAGAGGTTTGTCTATCTTGTTGATCTTCTCAAAGAACCGACTCTTTGTTTCATTGATTGATTGTACTGTTTTCCTAGTTTCTACTTTATTGATTTCAGCTCTCAGTTTATTTCCTGGTGTCTACTCCTCCAGTGGTGAGTTTGCTTCTTTTTGTTTTAAATCTTTCATTTGTTCTGTCAATTCTTTAGTGTGACTATTCTCCAGTTTCTTCATGTGGGCACTTAGTGCTATGAAGTTTCCTCTTAGCACTGCTTTCAAAGTGTCCCATAAGTTTGGGTATGTCTACATTCTCATTAAATTCTCGGCAGTCTTTAATTTCTTTTTTATTTCTTCCTTGACCCAGGAATGGTGCAGTTGGGTGTTATTCAATTTCCATGAGTTTGAAGGTTTTCTGTAATTTGTATTGCAGTTGAATTCTAACTTTAAAGTGTGGTGGCCTGACAAGATACAGGGTATTATTTTAATTTTTTTGTGTGTTTGTGGAGGTTTGTTATTTTGCCAAGTATGTGGTCAGTTTTAGAGAAGGTTCCATGTGACACTGAGAAGAAGGTATATTCTTTAGTGTTTGGATGGAATGTGCTATAGATGTCTGTTAATCCAACTGGGTCATAACTTCTTTTAGATCCTTTGTTTCTGTCTGATGTTCCTGTCTAGTGGTGATAGCAGGGTGTTGAAATCTCCTACTATAAGTGTGTGGGGTTTTATGTGTTAATTGAGCTTTAGTAATGTTTCTTTTACAAATGTGGGTGCCTTCATATTTGGGGTATAGATGTTCAGGACTGAGATTTCATCTTGATGGACTTTTCCTGTGATGAGTATGAAATGCCCTTCTTCATCTCTTTTGATTGATTTTAGTTTGAAGTCTAATTTGTTGATATTAGGATTGCCACACCACTTTGTTTCTTGGGCCCATTTGATTGGAAAATCTTTTTCCAACTCTTTACTCTTGGGTAATGCCTGTCTCTGAAGTTGAGGCATGTTTCTTGTATACAGCAGAAGGATGGATTCTGTCTTCATATCCATTCTGTTAACCTGTATCTTTTTATATGCAGGTTAAGACCATTGACATTTAGGGATATTAATGTCCATTTATTGTTGGTTCTTGTTTGTTGGTGTCATTGTGTGTGGATTTTGCCCTACTTTTTCTCTTTGTGTTGGCAAATTTAGGTTATCTATTGCCTGTGTTTTTGTGAGTGTAGTTATCTTTGCTGGTTTGGAGATTTCCTTCCAGAACTTTCTGTAGGGCGGGATTTGTGGATATGGATTGTTTAAATCTGGTTTTGTCATGGAAAATTTTGTTTTCTCCATCTATAGTGATTGAAAACTTTCCTGGGTACACTAATCTGGGTTGGTATTCATGTTCCCTTAGTGTTTGTAGGACATCTATCCAGGACCTTCTGGCTTTCAAAGTTTCCATTGTGAAGTCGGGTGTAATTTGGATAGGTCTGCCTTAATATGTTACTTGACTTTTTTTTTTGCTGCTCTTAACATTTTCTCTTTATTCTGTAAGTTTGGTGTTTTGATTATTATGTGGCAATGGGTCTTCTTTTTGTGGTCCAGTCTATTTGGTGTTCTGTAAGCTTCTTGTCATTTCAAAGGCATATCCTTCTGTAGGCTGGGGGAGTTTTCTTCTTTGATTTTGTTGAATATGTTTTCTGTACCTTTGAGCTGTATCTCTTCACCTTCTTCTATACCTATTATTCTTAGGTTTGGTCTTTTTACTGTGTCCCATATTTCCTGGATATTTTGTGTTAGGGATTTGTTGGTCTTGAGATTTTGTTTGGTCAATGACTGTATATCCTCTAGTGAGTCTTCAACAACTGAGATTCTCTCTTCCATCTCTTGTATTCTATTGGTTATACCCACATCCTTAGTTCCTGATTGTTTATCCAGCCTTTCTATTTCCAGCATCCCCTCATTCTGTGTTTTCTTTATTGTTTCTTTTTTAGCTTTCATACCTTGAACTTGTTTTGAGTGCCTCCTTCATTTGTTTCATTGTTTTTTCTTGTTTCTTATTTAAGGTTCTTGAATATCTTTATAAAGTAGAGTTGTAGGTCTGTCTCTTCTTCTTCCTCTGTGCTTTGTGCTTTTCAGATCTTGCTGGTGTGGAGTCCCTAGATTCTGCTGGTGTCATATTGGTCTTTCTGTTGTTGAGTGTCTTCTTATTCTGTCTTCTTCCCATCTCTTCTCCTGTGGGTACAGGTGGGGTCTCTCTATCTCCTCTTGTCTCCTGGTGGTGTGTGTGGGCCAAGACTTCAATGTCTGCAGCTCTGGATGGTCTTGCCTCTCCTGGTAGTCTCCTCAGGAGGGTCGGGGCAGCAGAGTGGAAAGGAAGAGTGAGGTGTTTCTGGACTCAGGTAGGTCCTCCCTGTCTGGGAGTGTCTACTCTATGCCAGGTACAGGCCCAGAGAGATGGGGATGATGGCAGGAGATGGGCAGGATTCCAGCAGGAGCAGAGGGTACACTCACCTCAGGAGAGGTTGGGCTGGCAGAGGGGGAAGGCTAGCATCCATGCTTTTAAAAATAGCATATTGAGTGCCAGAAGGAATCTTTTAAATGTAAGTTTAATGAGGGACTTCCACTTTTGTGTTTCAGTAGGATCTTCATCATAATGATTTACAGAGGGCAATTATTACACTCACGAGGTTTCTCCACAGTTTTAAAAAAAAACTGTTTGGAGAACTGGTTACTCAGTTGCATGCCTGTGATCCCAGACCCTTGAGAAGCTCTGACTAGATGTTCATTTTTCTCAGGAGATTTTGGACTAGTGTGTGCACAAAGCAACATATTTTTTTTAACTTAAAAATAAAAAAAATATTTCTACTGAGGGATTTCAGTCTGTTTGCTGTCTGGATCTAAAGTGTGTTCTTTTCTTTCTTTTTTTTTTATATCTGTGAAATGAGTTCTTTTATTCAACCACGTATCCTATCTGCATCCACAACTCACTAATTACAATATTACACAATTGACTTTAGGATTCAAAGCCAAAGATACTCATAAAAGTGTTCTGGTTGCACTTGTGTTTTTTCTCTCATTCCCCTCTCCCCCTGAAAACCCTATATCTGTCCCACCTTACCTAATTATCAAACCACCCACTAACTCTAGAAGAATACTCACCTAATATTTGATTTCCATTTTCCAAAATCTCATGCCATTTACTACCAGGATACAAAATAATTATTGAGTAAAACAAGAAAAACTGATTATACAAGGGTGATGGCAAAGATTGATAGCTATCGTGCAGGGGTGAAGGAGAGACCTGGGAGGAATAATTTACAGTTATAGTAATAATTCACTGAAATACTGAAGCAGACAAAGGAAAGCTGTGACCAGGGAAGACTCTACGCATTAGTTTGAGGCTTGGAAGAAAAAATTGTCTGATACTTGGTGAAAAACTCTTCACATGTTGGAAACTGTGTGATCACAGACAAAATGTTTGACTTAGCTATTATTTTGTGATCAAAATGCTTAGCAGATTGCTTGAAATGTAACATAGGATAAAAATTAATATACATCATGAATTTATTCACTGCTAGGGTCTTTGGAAATTTGTTTCTTGAGGCTTTATTTGTTTAGATTGAGTGGATGAATTTATGTGCAAGTCTTTATGATGTATGGCACCCTCTGCTGGTTATCAATAAATATCTGATGTGCCAGAGATCAGATATGTGATCCCAGGTTGAGAACCACTGCTTTAGGCAACTGGAACTATTCAGCTCAATACATACATATATACATACATGTGTACATACATATTTAATTGAAATTCTTCCTTAGAAAGTAACAATATAATGTTACTTTTAAGTCATTTAAACAGCCCCTTTAATATATAGACTATTGCTTTATAAGAATTCTCTGCAGTTTAATTAAATAAATGTACTTGCCAACAGAACCAGAATTAGAATTGATGTCAGTGGAAGAAGACATGTCTGATGAAAGTGAAAAAAATCAGCCACTGGTATGAAAATATTTAATTTTAAATATCACATAATATTGTATAGCATTAGCTACATGAAACCATATTTTAGATTACTTGATAGAATTAATAGATCGTAACTAAATCCTTAATGTTGAAAACATATTTCCTTGTTATAAAATTTAACATAGCAAGTTCCAAGACAGTCAGGGCTTCACAGAGAAACCCTCAAAACAAAAACAAGACAAAACTTCAGAATATTCTTAAACTCCATACTAACTTAAAAGAGATCAAGGAGTAAGTGAAGAAGGGGCCAGCCGCTGAGCCACACAGCCAGCCATGGAGTAAGAGTGAAAGTAAGATTACAGAAGTAAGAAAAGAAAAATCTCAGAGGCAAAAGGTAGATGGGATAATATCAGAAAAGTTGGCTAGAAATAAGTCATGCTAAGGCTGGACATTTTAAGTAGAAATAAATCTCTGTGTAATTTATTTAGGAGCTGGATGGTGGGTTCTCCAAAAGAGAAAAGAGCAAAAGAGTAAAAGCATCCAACATGTGCGTGCTGTTTGGCATCTATGCTGCCTCACTGGCCAACAGCCACAAAAGAAAGAACCAATTCCTGACACTGGGCTTTTTATTAGATAGTTTCTGGAGTCTAGTAGGGATATTGTTGCCTTGCTACAGGCTTATATCTATCATCCATCTGTTTATATATTTCTGTTGTGAGATATTTGTACACTGTATGAAAGTGCACTGCTGTGATTGGTGTAGTAAAAAGCTGAACAGCACCGGGCGTTGGTGGCACACGCCTTTAATCCCAGCACTCGGGAGGCAGAGACAGGTGGATCTTTGTGAGTTCGAGCCCAGCCTGGTCTCCAGAGCGAGTGCCAGGATAGGCTCCAAAGCTACACAGAGAAACCCTGTCTCTACCCCCCCCCCCCCCAAAAAAAAAAAAGCTAAACAGCCAGTATCTAGGCAAGGTATAGGCAGGACTTCCGGGGCAGAGAGCGAAAGGAGGAGGAATCTAGGTGTGCGAGAGAGAGACTCAAGGAAACATGGAGAAAGTAGGATGAGTGGTATGTGACAGAAGATAGATGAATAGAAATGGGTTAATTTAAGTTATAAGAGCTAGCTAAAAAACAAGCTTAAGCTGAGGCCAAGCTTTTATAATTAATAATAAGTCTTCATGTCATTATTTATGAGTGTGTGGCCCAAAGAAAAATCTGACTATCTATCTATCTATCTATCTATCTATCTATCTATCTATCTATCTATCTGTCTATCTATAAATCACCGTTCTATAATCATTATGTACTTATCAGTAATTGAATCTATCCACACATCTGGAAGCTTCTACACTAGTAGCCTTCCATATGACCCTTCTCAGGATATCAGGTATTATTTTGACGTTTGTGATCCATTTGGAGTTGAATTTTGTACAGGATATGAGAGAATGATTGAGTTTCATGCTATTATTTAAATACAACATAAATAGAAATTTTGTAACTTACCACACTCATTTAAGTATTTTTTCTACCAGTAAACATTTTATGTAAAAACATGTATGATTTAAGAATTATTCACATGTAACAAACAACTTGTTCAGTATTTTGTGTATACCCAGCATGACAAGCTAGGAATTCTTTTTACATAAAATATTTTCTCTTGTCTCTATGACAGTTTCTGTCATTGTAGGAATATTCTAAATGTTACTTTGTTTCTCCTGGCCTTCCATGATCTGTTTACATGTTCAGCTATCAATTGATAGAAAAGGATTAAATTGATATAAAGAACATATACAATGTCCCCATCAAGAGTTTTACTCTCCGTACAACTTACTCTTATTTTCTAGTTTAATTGCTTTTAAAGCTGGAAAGTCAGACCTCTTCTTAGAAGGGAGCTAGGAGACATTTATGTAACTTATTGATACTTATTTTTTTAAGAGTGTCTTGGAGCATCTTCCACAGATGAGTGTTGGACATTTATCTGATGCAGGATATGAAATGGGAAAAGTTAATATAAACAGACAAATGAAAGGTAGGAATAGCATTTTACTAAAAAGAACTATGTGATGGTGCAAGACTGCATTTTATAGACTTCAGTTGCTCTGTAGTGGCACCCATCTTTACATGCAACATCATAAACTCATACAATTGCTTCACAGATGCCATTCATGTAATTTACCCAGAAGTCAATACCCTGCAATGATAATATTGCTTGATGAGTTTAGTAGATTAAAGAATCAGTTCATTCAAAACAAACACTAACCAAAACAAACACTAACCTGGAACCCTCACCATAATAAGATGTGCACCAGAAAAATGACGAACACGAGCAACTTAAACATAACTAACTTTATGGTTTTTCTCAAGTGACAAGTCTATTTCTCCAATGATACAAACCTATTTATACATTATTTCATTTAGTAAAATTTGGTCTGCATCACACATAGGTAAATTTATAACCTAGATATCCCTGTAAACATTCCACCAGTTATGGTCTCGATAGTGTTTATCTTGCCCCAGTAACTTCTTATAAAGCATCTACCTCCATTTATGAATGTACTGTGCATATCCATCCTGCAACTAACTTGATTTGTCTTCATTGAAAATGTTAGCATACTAACATTTTGAAATGAAAGTGTCCAACCTTCTTAAAATTCCAGAAAAGATTTTCATGACTTGTGTCCAACCGCGCATCTTTAGACATCCTCCGGTCTTCTATTTTCTGTGAAACTACTAGACTGCTGGTGGTATGTTTTCTAACAATCTGCATTTAGATAGATCACTATTAAACACAGTACTTCTCCCTTGTTTCTCCCTTTCATGCGCTTGCACATTCTTTACTGATGTCTGGCTAACCTCATATTTTAAGTATCAAGCAGGTATTATGTTTAGAAAAAAACGTCTATACATCCATTATTTATATTCCTCTATATAAGGTATCAGCACCTAATAAGAATACAATAAACAATTGTTGAGTAAAATGAAATAAAGGCTGTTTATGCTGAAATGACTTTAAGAATAGTTCCCTCCAGGGCATATGTAAAGGATTAAACATGTAAGTAAATAATTTGCAGGTCTGGTGGTAAAGATGAAGCTGAAAATCAATAAAATACTGAGACAGACACAAGAAAAGATTTATTTATGTATGAAGAGTCAGAACTCAGTACTTTATATAGCCAACTAAGTATAAAAAGATGAAACAAAACTGTTAGAATAGTGGACAGAAATAAATTGAATATAAGGAACAGGGTGGCAGAGACAAAGGTGTGAAGCATGATGGAAATTTTGTTTAGAAAATAATTAGTGGGTTATTTAAAAGCTAATAGTATGAAATAAAAAAGAGTGTACTCACGTGCATTTTATTCATTTCTGTGATATTTTTAAGTTTCACTTCGGAGGGCTTGCTTCTTTATGTTGAATGTTTGAATGTATGGATGAATCACAAAAGCTCTTTTTACATCTAGAATTGTTCAGAATCTAGTGTTGATTCAAATACTGGTTGTGAATGAAAGCAACATTGAATATTCAGCTAACTGTTAAGCTGGATACAAATTAATTGGGAAAATGCAAAATGCAATTCTTAGGAACACAAATTTTAAGATACCTCCATCTACTGCTATAAAGACTATAGTTTTATGTGCAATGTATTAATATTGTCTAACTAAATATATTTATTAGTAGAGCCAGACTTAGAAGTAACATCAGAGGAAGATTGTGATAAATTTGATGACAGAAGAAATATCCAGTCATTGGTATGTAAATGTAAATTAGAGTTTCTGGTATAAAAGTTTTTGATGTTCAAGAATGTTGCATGAAGCCGGGTGGTAGTGATGCATGTTTTAATCCCAGCACTTGGGAGACAGAGGCAGGTGGATCTCCATGAGGTCAAGGTCAGCCTGGTCTACAGAGTGAGTTCCAGGTCAGCAAGTTCTTTTACACAGAGAAACCCTGTCTAAAAAAAATAATGTTGCATGGACCAAAGGAAACTACAGTTCAGACAACCAAGAATTGATGGCTTATAATTTAGTACTTAAAGTCTTAAAGATTGTTTACCATCTTCTGGAACATATGGCTAGCATTTGTCCTTAGACAAACATTGTCTTCCCTGTGTTTATTATCCCTAGAATCAAGTCCGTATGTATTTTTTATCTGATAAGAACCATGACGATTTTTACTCTTAGGTTTTTGCATGTGTAAGTATTAACAAGGTAGTAGTGATGAGTCCAGCATGAAGGAAATACAACAGTAAATATCCGAAGTGTGATCTATTCTCTCTAGTGGACTTTAGAACATACTTGAACAACTTAATGCAGAGAGTTTCTATAGATGAGATAATATTAAATATATTTCCAATATTTTTGGAAGAATAACCTGCAACAAAAATGTTGTGAATGGTGCTTGAGGCATTATTGAGAACCTTTTAAGTATTGAGACCTGTGTTGGCTAGTTTTATGTCAACTTAACACGAGCTTGAGTGATCTATAAGGAGGGGACCTCAATTGAGAAAATATCTCCATAAGATATGACTGTAAGGCATTTTCTTAACTAGTGATTGATGGGGGAGGGCCAAGCCCATTGTGGGTGGTGCCATCACTGGGTTAGTGGTCCTGAGTTCTATAAGAAAGCAGTCTGCCCAGTACTTGGGAGGCAGAGGCAGGCGGATCTCTGTGAGTTCGAGGCCAGCCTGGTCTCCAGAGGGAGTGCCAGGATAGGCTCCAAAGCTACACAGAGAAACCCTGTCTTGAAAAACCAAAAGGAAAAAAAAAAAAGAAAGCAGTCTGAGCAAGCCATGGGGAACAAGCCAGTAAGCAGTACCTCTCCATGGCCTCTGGAACAGCTCCAGGTTCCTGCCTAACTTTGAATTCTTGTCTTGACTTCTTTTGGTGATGAACAGTGGTGAAAGTCAAATAAACCCTTTCCTCCCCAAGTTGCTTTGGTCCTGGTGTTTCATCACAGCAATAGTAACCCTAACTAAGACAATACTAAATAATTTTTCTTATTGAGGGTCAATAGTATACTAGCTAGGTGTTTAAACATCAAATGTCCCAGATGTCCCATTGTCTAGAGAAAATAACTAAACAATACCCAGCAAGTACTTTTAAATCACTACATGTGAGTCATATGAGAAAAATAACAATTTACACAGCATTGAAGGGGTTTGTAGTTAGGATGAGGCTGTGGGTCGTGGTACAATTTTAAATTTTGAGAAGATTTTTCTGTGTGAGAAGTAACCAAGTGATATCTCATCAAGATGACTATCTGGGCAGGAAGAGTGTGTATCACATCTCTTCTTTACTTGGCTTTTACCTTACATAATCAGAAAGCAGGTCATGGGACAAGCTTCACTACACTCCCTTTACTCTTGTAATATATATCTAGAGATGTGCAACTAAGGGAGTTGTGCAGTTCAGCTCCTTAAAAACTTGACATCATCGTTTTGGAAGTTTTTCATTGCAAAAAGTTGTATAATAACATGTAGTATTTGTACATTACTTAGTCATTCCATAGAGAATTTTGTTTTGCAAATTGGTTATTTAAGTATTTTTAAATTAGCATACATGGTGTTTTCATACATAGCTTAGGCTGATCTCCTCTCACTTACTCTCACCTTAGATCATACCCTTCCACTCTTAGTAGTCCCCTGTTTCCTTTCTCATATATTCTATTACCTTTCCCACTTCCTGTTCTTAAAGCCCTACCCCATCTTATCCTCTTTTTCCTAGCTTCATTAACTTTGCCTATACCCCCACAGAATACTCAGGTCTAACTATTAGAAGCTAGGATTTACTTACGAAAGCATATCTGACATATCTTTTTGAGTATGGGTCCCCTCACTTAATATAATAACTTCCAAATTTATTTTCTTGCAAATTTCATGACTTTCTTTTCTTTGTGGCTGAATTAAATTTCATTTTATATCTATTCTGCATTTTTATTGATTGGTTTCACTCTACTTTCCCCTCTGTGAGGGCTGAATTCCCACCTTTAGTTTAGGTTTCTAGCAATGTAAACTGCCTTGCTGTTATTGTCTACTTGTATGTTCTTTTGGTCTTCCATGCTGCTTACATAGTCAATGACCACATGAAGATAAAAGTTAGAATGGATCTGAAGAGCATGTAGGAGGTTCTGTTTCCAAATATTTTAGTTTTTAATAGTGCTTCTTTTATATTCAACCCTATGTGATTTTTAAAATATGAAATTTGGCACCTTCATGAAATTGATTGGGAGGTCTTTTCACAACTCATGATCACTACTTATTATAACAGAGAATCTATGAGGATCTTCCAAATATATCTGGCAATGTATCTGTGGCAGTAGATTCAAGAAGAGAAAAGACAAATGGACAACCAACAGGTAGGAAGTAAATCTTATGAAAAAGACATTTGGTGTGATGCTTGTTTATGACAGAAGGCTGAAGTTTCAATGTCAGTTTGAGAGTATCACTAAGAATGATGAATTGTGATCTATATTTCTAGGTATCCTATTACCAGTGATATGCTAATAAGTTATAACGAGGTGCAAGAAATGGGGGATGAAGATGAGGAATGAGAAAACCAGTGAAAGTAGAGTATAAGTAAAGTATGTCATTTATATGAAGTAAAGGGTTAGTATATGAAGTAAAGGGTTAGTGTCCTAGTCTTCCTCTGGTCTGTGATAAAGTGCTCTGAAGGAAACAAAATAAGGGAGGTGGAGTATGTTAAAACTCAAAGTGCCAGGGTCTAGCTCATCTTAGGAGTGAAGTCAAACTATCAGAAGCAGCTGCTCACATTATGACCACAGTCAGAGATGAATAATGAATACATACTTTCTAGTGCTCAGTTCCCTTCTCATAGACAGCCTAGTTTCCCCTGCATAGGGAATGGTGTCACTTACAGTGGTGGCACTTTAAACCTCAATGAATATAATGAAGATAATTGCCTACAGGCATGCAGTCCAATGTTTACATTGAGAGTACCCATCCAGGTAATTCTGGGTTGTACCAAGTTAATAATTAAATTGAGAAAATTAAAAAAAATGTGCAGCAAAGAAAAGTAATGTATTTGATTTGTGAGGAACTTGTGACTTGA